CATTGATTGGACGTCCTACCGGAAGCTTTCTATTTTTTGTTTTCTTTTTATTTTTTTATCTCACATAATAAATTAAACAATATGTAATAATTTTTTTTACATAATTTTTTTATTTTTAAATTCTTCTTTACTGATATCAAAATTTAAATTTAAAATTTTTAATATAAAAACTTAATCACTGATACGTCCCACAGGTACTGCCCGTCGGGAAGCTTGGATGCAACAAAAACTGCTAACAAATTGACGATGCACTCCATGGTAATTAAATGATTAAATATCAATTTTAATTTCTAAAGTTTGTATTTTTAAATATTTTTTAAAATTTAAATTATTTTTAATACTTATTTTGTCTTTCAACTCTACAAATTATTATTGTTATTATTTTCATCCTTCCATGGGCAAATATCACCTTAAGGATAATTAATATGCACGTCTCAAAGCCACAAGTTTTCAACTCACATACCCATTAGTCAGCAATCCATAATAACTTAAGGCAGTTTTCGTTTTTTTTTTTACAGGTACAATTTAAGAGTGATGAAGAATTTTTAATATTAGTGTCATAACCATTTTTTTTTCTAAAATAAGCAATAAATGTCATAATTTAAATTTTGATTATTATCAAAATATTAGGTACACCTATCAATTGACTTATGAAACTTGATACAAGGCAATTATCATGTGATCCAACTATACATCCTTACTTGGAGTATAATATATGTGTATATTTTTGGTTGATCGATAGCCTCTAGATTCCAAACAGGCAGTTCTTAAAGTACTTTTGGTTACATACTAAGAGTTAGTTTGAGAACATTAACTTGTAACTATAGTGATAGATTTTTTAATTTTTTTAATATTTTAAAAATATATAAGATATATTTAATATTTATTTTAATTGATATTTTATATATTTTTAAAATAATAAAAATTAAAAGTTAAAGCATCGAGAAACGTTATCAAATAAAGCTTAAATACAAATATATATATATATATATATACAAACTTTACTGAAGTTATAATTCAATCATATTTGTAACTATCAATTAATTAACCTATTATAAATTCACAACAAAAAATTAATACTTAAAGGATCGAGAAACCGTTATCAAATAAAGCTTAAATACAAAAAAATATATATATATACACACACTTTACTGAAGTTATAATTCAATCATATTTGTAACTATCAATTAATTAACCTATTATAAATTCACAACAAAAAATTAATACTTCTTGTTTTCAAATTTAATAGATTTAGTTTTTTTATTTTGGGCATTTAAATTTAGATGTTTATTTTTTTAAAATATCATTTAATGTATATATTCTTATTTTATTGTCATTTTAAAAGCATATTACAACATATATTAAATAAGAAATCTTATTTAAGTGATACTTAATTAGGAATAAATATGAAATTTCATCAATAAATTATTACAATTCTATTTCATTGGATAAAAAACTAAATTTACTAAAAATGAACGAGAGGGATAATCTAAATAAATTGAGTAATGATATGGAGGACAAAGATTTGGGACAAAAATTTGGAACCAATAATATGGTATAAGTCACGTTATTAAATTAGTTGATATAAATAATATTACGAGTATAAAATAACAAAAAAACCAATAATTAAATAATATAAAATCTATCTTTTAATATTTTAAATATCATATCATTGGTCCGAAATTTTGATCCCATTTATCATTATTCAAATAAATTATGACCTTCATTTAAATTTAGTAGTTTTAATTTGATTTTTTAATATTTTAAATATAAATTTTAGATAAAAATTTAATATATTATATAAATAATGATTAAAAACTTTTTTAATCAAATAAAAAGACTCAACAATCAACAATAACTATATATAGGGAAAAAATTTTAATTGTTGTTTAATTAACTTTTTTTATTTTAAATTTATCTCAAATTAATTGCCATTTTTTGTTTTTCATAATAGGCAAAAAATTTTTCTACTTTAATCTTATTTTTATCCATTCACTTTAATTAATTATCTATCAGAAAAAATCTCCTTTTATCTTTTTCTAAGAATATTATAAATAAACACATAAATTATACAACCTAAATCCTTAATTTAAGAAAAATAAAAAAAATAATTATTTTAGAAAAAAAGAGAGTAATTCACCTTTGCAACCTGCACTACAAAATCACTACAAACCCCACCCACCGCTGAAAAAAAAAAAGAAAAAAGAAAAAATGAAAAGAAAACACAGAACTTGGCATATAAACGTATATGATTGTACTAGCTAGTCGAGCCAAGAGAAAAATCACCGTGAAAAACAACGAAAACAATCAATAAAAAAGGAACTACCAATGAATTGCCAATGATCCCATTGAGATATATAAGGTATGATTGTCTCTAAATTTTTAATTTAGGAAATAATTAAAGGACAATATGTTATTTTAAGGTAAAGATAAAGAGAGCATGTGCCAAGATTTAAACATTGACTTAAGTCTAAAAGGAAAACATTGCTCATATTATTACCGGTTAAAGTATCATTTTAGTCCCTCAACTTTCTACTTTGGAATCAATATTGTCCCTCAACTTTAAAAAATATCAAAATTATTCTTAAACTTTCATTTTTGGTACCCAAATGGTCCTTTCGTCAGTTAAGTGCACAGGTGGCACGTTAAGATGCCACAAAATCACTAGCTTTTTAAAATTTTAATGATGTGTATATCTAGCAAAGAAAATATTGTCACCGTGGCATTTTTTTACACGTCAGATTGTCGTCTTCTCAGTTTCCCCTTTTAGTGGGATCCACAGGAAATTTTGTTTTCTCTTTTTCCAATTTCAATCAAGTTCCCCAAAAATCATAGTTTTCTTCGTTTCTCTTTTCATTTCCTTTTCATATTCAAAACCCTAAACCTACTACTTTTGCAAAATTAAAATCAAAATGAAAATCATCCTTCTTTTTTCTTCTTC